GTCATTATCCACCAATACCCTATTAAAAGGTTTTCCTTCCAAGTGTGCTCAGATGTATAGTGGCTTCAAATGTTGCATTATGGGCTATGTAGGCTTGCTAAACAGTCAACCCTTCATGTTGCTAGGAAATGGCACTCTATCTATCCCTTGCTCAAAGTTTTTGACTTTGAGGGCAAGGTTACTGAGTTGTAGGCCAACTGCGCCACTTTAACTAAGCAGGTAGAGAAGTTGACGACTGAGGTTGAAGGGTGGTCGAGGAGAAAGGAGGAGCTCGTCTAGGGATATGAGGATGACATGATGATTGTTTTTGAGGACATCAAGTGAAAGTTCTTCAAGCAAGGATGAGACATTGCCCTTGCCATTGTGGGGACAGCGTTTGCCTCGCCTTTATACCAGGAACACATCTACGTTCCTTCCCATGAAGTGCTTGTGGCCAAGGCATCTTCCATTCCTCATCCTACTCTACCTCAAGTTGACCTCGCAGTTTCAGAGGTCCCTGATGTCCTTGTTCCTCCATCGACATCAACAGATCCTACTGTTCTCGATGATAATATTTTAGTTGATATAGAAGTTCTCCTCAAGGGAAATGCGGTGGCTTAAATATATTTTCCTTCATCTTTTGTTTTGGGAATTTTTTCCATTGTTTTTCCTGGGAGATGCAAAGGGCTCTTTCATAATGGAAATGTTCCTTTCGTATTTAGATTTCTCTCCCCTTTACTTGCATTTTTATTATCACATAGAAGAGATCAAAAAGTTGATTTTTATTTCAAAAGTAATACGTCTTAAGATTCATTACATTCCATGGTATAGGTAAAACGATACCATCTAAGTCCCCCAACTTGTAAGATCCGGATCCCCCGACCATTGTAACACGGTAGGGACCCTCCTAGTTGGGTCCAACTTTTCGTCGGATGCTTCATGAGTGTTCCTAATGACTTTCCTTAGCACCAAATCACTTACTTGGAAGCTTTAAGAATGAACCTTCTTGTTGTGATGTCTGGCAAGTTCACCTTGGTACCTAGCGAGTTGTATGGCTGCCATTTCTCTCTGTTCTTCGGCTAGGTCGAGGTCTTTGCCTAATTTCCAATCATTCATCCTTGTGTCGAAGGCTTGGGCTCTTATAGTTGGGAGGCCGACCTCAAGTGGTATTACTGCATCCATCTAGTAAGCTAGGGCGAAATGGTTTCTCCCGTGGAAGACCGATGGGTTGTTCGGTATGCCCACAAAACATCAAGTAACTCCTTGGTCCATTTCCCTTTCACCTTTTCTGGCTTCCTCTTGATTTCGGATATGATCATTTTATTAGACACTCAAGCTGCCCATTGCACTATGGATTGGTAGGAGTGTGATAATAATTCCTGATGCCCAGGTTTTTGCAAAATGACTTGAAAGGTCTATTATTAAACTGAGGCCTATTGTCAGATATTATGGTCGGGGGCACACCGAACCGCGTCATTATGTTCTTCTATACAAACTTCTAGGTGTCGATGTCCCAGATGTAGGTGAGGGATTTGGTTTTCACCCATTTTCTGAAATAGTCTGTCCCTACGAGGAGGAATCTTTTATTGGTCAGTGCCTTGGGCAATGGTCTAACGATGTCTGATTATAGGCGCATGTCTCTGGCACTTATCACATTCTCGTACATACTCTTTTGCATCCTTTTGCATGTGTGGCCACCAATATTCTTGCGACATCGCTCGGTGAGCCATTGATCTCCCTCCCATATACTCCCCATATATACCCTCATGGATTTCATACAGTAAGGGTTAGATTTTATCATCAGGAATGCAAAGAAAATAAGGACCTGAGAACGATTTTTGATAGAGTTTCCAGTCAGGCGATACCCAAAATCTCGGGGCCTTGAGCTTGATTTTTTGGGCCTCCTTCTTACAATCTGGTAGTTCCCCCACCACCAAATATTGAATGAAAGTGTCCATCCAACTTGGAGAACCTCCCTCCATTTTAACTAGGAAGTTGTCCACCTCTTCCACTATGCATGGTGTCAACAGAAAGTCTACAGTTATTCTCCTCGTGACTTCTGTCCTGAGGATCAAGGCGAGACACACCAGTGCATCGTCATGGGAATTTTAGTCCTGAGGAATCTGTGTGACTTCCACTTTTTGAAAGTTCTGTATAATGGAGATGGCTTTTCGTGATATGCCCTCATCCTTGGATCACTAGTCTTGAAGTCGGCGTTCATTTGGTTCATCACAAGCTAAGAATCGCAGAACTCTAGGAGATGTGTTGCTCCAAATACGTGGGCCAACCTGAGTGCCAAGATGAGGGCCTTGTACTCGGCATCATTGTTTGAGGCACTAAAGCCGAGTCGTAGAGCTTGTTCCATAAAGCGCCTTCCGGGGAGATCAAGACCATACTGATTCTCGATCCCCTCTAGTTTGAGGATCCATCCACATAAAATTTCCAAGGATCTATGAGAGCAACTTTGGGGGTGAATTCTGTAATCAAATCTGCCAGGACCTGCCCCTTTATCGCCTTACGGGGTTTATACTAGTTTTCTTACTCCCCTATTTAAATGGCCCACTTCGTTATCCTTCTAGACAAATCTGCCCATCTAAGAACAAACTTCAATTGTTGATTGGTTAGTACCACTCTGGGATAAGCTTGGAAATAATGCTTGAGCTTACTCGCAATAGTGACTAGAGCCAGAACCATATTCTCCAATGGGAGATACCTTGCCTTGGGGTCGAGTAGCGTCTTGCTTACATAATATACTGACTTTTGATTGGAATCCACCTCATGCACCAGAGCTCCGCTCGCGGCGAACTCTTAAAACTAAGAGATATAACATCTCTTATCTCCTGGCACTGAGAGGGTTGGTGAGGTGCTGAGGTAATCTTTTATCCCCTGCAGCGCCTTGCTTCACTCGCCATCCTATTTGTCCTTCTGTGCCTTTTTTAGAGCATTGAATAAGGATCTACACTTATCAAAAGATCTAAATATGAAGCGATTTAGAGTGGCCAACATCCTTGTCAACTTCTGTATGTCCCTGATAGTTTTTAGCTCTTGAATGTTAGTGATCGATTGTTGCTGCTTGGGACTTGCCTCTATGCCGCACCGCATAACCAAGTACTTGAGGAACTTACCCGAGCTAATCTCGAACGCGCACTTTTTCATGTTCAGCTTCAACTTATACTCCCAGAGCGTTTGGAAGGTGATCTCCAAGTCTTTTAGGTGGTCCTCCTGGTGCTTATTTTTTATGAGCATGTCATCAATGTACACTTCCAAACTCACCCTTATCTGTTGCTTAAATATTTTGTATATTAGGCATTGATAAGTAGCCCCCACATTCTTAAGACCGAACAACATGACTCTGTAACTTTGTAATAGTACACTTTTTCCTAATACATTGTATGTAATAGAATCTGATGGTAGCCTGCTCGTGTATCCATTAACGTTATTCGATCGTGCCCCATGATAGTGTCCACCAAGTGGTACACCTTCGAGAGTGCATAATCATCCTTGGGACAAGCCCTATTCAAATCTGTGAAGTCGACGCAGACATGCCATTTTTCACATTTTTTTCTTGCGCACACCATGTTAGACAACCATGTCAGAAAGTAAACTTCTCTGATTGTAGCGGCCTCCATGATTCATTCGACCTTCGTTCACGGCGTTGACATGGTGCGGAGCCACCTGTCGTGGTTTCTACTTCACTAGCTTGAAGCCTAGGTCTACATGCAACTGATTGCTTATGATTTCAGGACTTATCCCCCTCATCTCCGAGGGGTGTCATGCGAACACATCAATTTTCTAATCTAGTACAACAACCATTTCCTCTTGATCCTCTAGAGGCATTAAAGATCCTATTAGAAAAAACCTCTCTTTATCCCTCATATCTATATATACAGTCCTCAGTTCCTCTATTGAGTAATCAACAAAGGTCCAACCTCAGCTCTTCAACCCCCCATCGCTTAAACTTTGATTGTTGTTTCTTTAGTATGGCCTCGGGATTGGGTTCCTTTCCCTTGGATTTCACCCCTGCCTTCACAACTGTATAGAAGCAACTCTTGGTTGAGGATTGATCTGTGGACTCCCTACGAGGTGGGGAACTTAAGCTTCTAATGATTGGAGAAACAGACGGGCTTGAGGATGTGTAGCCACATTCTTTCCATTATCGTATTGTAAAGCAAATCCAAGTCAATAACTACAAATTCTGTGGCCAAGACGACGGGACCTGTTTTGACAAGTAGGGTAATTTTCTTAAGGGGGAGAGCGTACGAACCATTGAAGCCGACAAGAAGAGTTTTCACTGGGGTGAGGTCTTTGGGGCTAAGCCCATCTTCTAAAGCATATTTTTGTACATGACTTCAAAGGAGCTCCCAGATTCAATCAAAATGTGCCTTACATCAAAGTTGGATATTCATAGAGTGATGATTAGGGCATCATTGTGTGGAAACACCACCCTGGCTAAATTAGCCTTTGAAGGTGATATCCACTCCATTGGATGGTTGTCTCCACCCTGCCTTCCTCTAATTTTTGCACCATCACCACCTTCTTCAAATTTTTTCTGAATGTATTAGTGGTCGGTCATTCCAAGGGACAGGTATGAATCACATCAATGACAATGGTGAGATTTTCCTCCGTTTCAACCACTTGAACTCCCTCCGTTGATGTCTCTCGGTCTATGAATTCATTGAGGTGTTCTTCCTTTACTAGCTTTTCGGGGAAGGCCTTGTGTAACTAGAAATCTTCCATGAGGTGCCCCGTGGCCTAATGATAAGAGCACTAGGCATTCTGGTTCCTCCTTGAGGGATCGCTCTGCATTTTGGCAGGCCATTTAAAGAACGGTTTCTTCTTAATTTTGTGCAACATCTTGTAAATTGTCTCCTTGAAAATCGTATGGACTCCTCTAAATGAACTTGGGGTCGGCATGGACGCAGATCTCTCCTTTTTACTCTGCTCTCTTTCTCGGCAAGGCTCTTACTTCCCTTTCAGGGCTGAAGCCTTGCTCTTGTGTACCCCTAAGTCATCTTCTACTTTGGAGTACTAATTGATTCTAGTCATCATTTCAATCATAGTGGAGGGGGTCTTCTTCATCAAGGACCAGTGCAGGTACTCGTCTTGGGACAAATCATGTCAAAAAGAAGAAGCGGTCATCACCTTGGAACACCCCTCCACCTCGTTGACCTTTTACTAATAGTGGGCAACATACTGTTTGAGGCTTTCATTGTCCCTCTGCTAGAGGGAAAATAACAACCCGACATCCTTTGGGTGCTTACTACCCGTGATGAACCAAGCAGTAAACTGTGCAGTCAACTACTTCCACGACCCTATGCTCTCTGGGGATAAATTTTCATACCATTTTGTTGTGGTATCCCTAAGGTTAATTGTTGTACACCTTGAAACGGGGAAATACAAACTTACAAGGCATTTCCACTTCCCTCATGTTCCAAACAAAAGGAGAATGGATGGGTTCATCATCGGTATTGTCCCTCTATAGCTAGACAACTTTCCTGAGTCTCTTTGAGTTTAGGTGAGACCTTAAATCATCGTCCCCATTCTGGCGCTTGGGAAATGCCTCGTGTTGCCTTACCCAAGCATCCTTCACGAAGTGGGTGGACCCCTCAGATTCATCCCTC